GTCTTCCAGGTTAGGCCTGTTCGTCCCACCCAGTGCCATCCTGACTAGCTAGGAGTCCAGACCAACTCAGAAAAGTCAGCACAAATAGCTGCTTCTCTTTCAACTTCACATAACAATTTTGAGGTGAATAAAGCCTTCCACACAAAAAGAAGAGATACTTGTGTGCTCAAATCATGATGCTGCTATGGAAAGTGAGTGCGTGGCCATTTCTCTCATTGTCTTGGGCAGGGAAGATGAAGCTGGCTATGGCCAGAGAATAGTTTTGTTCATCAGTCATGTAGAATTTAAACTAAAAGGAGCTATGTTCATGTTTAAAAGTCATTAAGGCTATCAATTCTATTTTGATGGTTTTCTAGAAGAGGAGATGTCGGAGTTCAGTAGATCTCCCAAGGGTTACAGGATTCTTTATTCCAAAAAAGGAACTGAGTTAGTCTTTAAAGGTGTCAAAAAACATCATTCAAGGCTTGAGCTGTGCAGCCATTCTTTGTGGTTTTGGGATCTGTGAGTAAAAATGTTGGAATGAAGGGGAGAACTGAATTAAAATTGTGGATTAAAAAAGCTAGAAGATACGATGATTTTGAAAATGTAGCTTGTGATGTATCAATTTTCATGTGGATTGTGTAGATAATGGTGAAATTCAAATAGTATATTCAACTTTTACTCTCTATGAACATCTACAGCATATCTTTATATACCAGTGCAATGTAATTGTTTTAGGATAGCATTTATTAAGCACATAAAATTAGAGACTTCTGAGACAGAAAATACCAGCATAGATAGATTTCAAAAATTACACAAGTCTCCACGTTACCAAATGTTTCCTTACCTGCAGTAAAGCACCTAAGAAGGCAGAAGCAGAGATCGATGAGTGGGAAAATGACCCATTGGATATTTGTATTAGCCACTTTGAAAGGTACAGTATGGAGAGAATTATCGATAAAGTCAGAGCCTTCATGAGAAAGCAACTCTGCTTGCAACTCTTAAGTGAGAAATGAAATTGCCTAGAATGCAAGTTGACAGATAAGACTGTTGAGTGAGGCCCCAAGAAGCTTGTGCTGACAACAGGAAACCTTTTATTTGAATTGTCTAAGGGTGGTAAAAGGTCAAAATTATTCAAATGCTGTATGCAGTTGATAGATGAATCCTGAACCAAGAGATTTGTGAGGCAGCAGAAAGCAAAATGCTCTGATAGCTGCATTTTTATAAAGATTGCATAAATCTTACAAACTTGTAATAGCCACTTTTGTACATTTTACATGCAACATCTTCAGTTCATCCACATTAATGTAAATGTAAATGTGCTTGAGAAAGACCTGAAAATATCTTTGAACATTAATTCTTATGTAAGGAAATATCAATAAATGCTTTAGTTAGCTTCTGTGCAGTGATCCTAACTACTCATAAGAGGTGGCAAATTGCTAAGTGAAACAAATAAATGACCAAAAGAAGAGATTGTGGAAAGGGGAATAATGTTTTTTTAATCTGCTGCTGAACTACTTTATGATCTTAGGCAACTTATTTAATTTGTGCATGTCTTCCCACCACTTCTACCCTTATTAATTAGGACTACATAGAATATCCCTGCCATGCTGGTGCACAGTATGTTTTACTATCATCTGATCATAACCAAGAATAAGAAGATAAAAATTACACTGGATTCTAGAAGTCTTTGACCCTTTCCATCAAATTGTTCAAATTCTTGGCCTGTAATTCAATTAATATTGTCATCACTCCCTGAGTTTAATTTTTTGAGCTAAAAATGTACTTGGTCATGAAAGTCTTCCTTTTGCATTTTAGAACATCAGTGTCTCTGGAGTCTATTTAGTCACCTACACCCATTTTACAGTACAACACACAACTGCAAAATATGCAAGAGCATGGAATGTGTGTTAATGACTCATAGTATAGATTTCACCAGCAATATTTTAATGCTGTTTCTCTTGAAAAATGTACAATAGATCTGACCACAGAAATCCTTAATATATGTTGTGTATGGTAATAGTCCACATTCAGCAATGCACTTTATTATTCTCTATAGAAACTAAAATATATGCTGGTTTACCACAGCACACATAAGTGAAAGATCCCTGCTATTTTTTTTCAGTCTGTCAGGACATCTGAGAAGCATACAACACAATGTTGTTTTCTTAGGGGCTCATCCTATTATGTGTGGATTGGCTTGCCCTCTAGTGAGACTTCCTGCTTTCTGCTTCTCAAATGCATGCTCTTCTAAGACCATTGCCATTTGGTAAAATGCTATGGTTCACCAGCCTTCCACCTCAGCTCCAAATACAATTCTGTGTTTTTAGTTCAGTGTATGTACCAAGTAAGTTGAAGGTTCCAAAACCTGTTCATTAGGCAATGCCAATGAACTGTTCAGTTTTCTAGCTCATTGCATGATCATGGTCTGTAGTTCCATTCTTCAGAAGAAACACTTAATAGATTGGAAGGAGGTCATGCTTCCCATCTCTCCAGGCTGCTGGTGCAGATCATGTTTTCCTGTCCAATCTGTTAGTGTTTCTAGATTTGTAGTTACTGTTTCTATCTCAAAATGTGCCTGTGCTTGGCCTGGAGATCTTAATTTCTCTCACTGAGATTTGCAATGATTATGCAGAACTTTATCTTAGCCTAAAAAAAGCATATTCTACTTAGAGTTATCTAGAAATCCTTTGAATAACAACAGTCAAGTTTGTGCAGAGAACAACTGAGAACACTGTTATGATGAATTGTTTTTAATAATTTTATTTTTGCAATAGGATTGTAAATCTCTTGCAGCACAGACAGGAAAGATGGGGTAAAAAAGAAGAAGAAAGGGAAGTTTGAAATTCAGCAACCAAATGCAAAACTTTGTACTGACTTTCATATAGTCTAGGGCCTGCCCTTTTGTTCTTATATATGATCATCTTTACTTAAACTATCCCAGAAGTTTCTGGTTTTGGGAGTTAAACTCTCTAGGATTAGGAGCAGAACTTCCTGAGTCTAGAGCCCCCACCACTGGAATTAGTTTTCTTTGGTTCTCTGCCAGTGTCCAGCTCCAGTAATCTTCAGAGCCCATTGACAAATATTTGTACTTGGGTAAGTTTTTCTGTATTTTTAGGTGGCTTGGTTTTGCTTTGAATTTTACTTTGCAGTCCTTGAGATTGTAGATTGGAAATTGTTATTTTCTAACAGGATTATTTAGTATTAGCCACCATGGGAAATTTTCTATGTAATTTATCAGATGTTTTTAAAAATGTGTACAGTAGTGCCTGAACAAGCAATATATTTATTTTCACTTTTATTTTGCCATTTTCCAACCTATGATACTGGGAGAACTTTGACTGGAAAGCTCTAGAGGACAGAAGTTTGCTCCTTGCATGACTTCTTCTCTGTGGAAGGAGGGGATGACTGTGCCGGTGGACAGACAGGGGGATGGTTTATCAGCTATGTGGGCTCACTGCTTTGTTCTGGGCAATTCTGCTGTCAAGTCCACCTTGGTACACATTCCACAGCCACTGTGGCTCTGCAGCCTCCCCTCCAAAGTGCCTGTCTGCAGTTAGTACTGCTTTTTGCTTATGAGACCAGAACTGCAAGAGTGTCTGAAAGGTGTAAGGCTTTCTACCCCAAAATGTAGCTTTTCAATAAAGCCTCTTGCAATGATGGCAAATGGATGACTGTAAGTAGTCTGAAGTATTTGATTATAAAATTTAATATATATGGCTTGATTGTCTAATTATTTACCTCGATTTTAAAAATTTATGCTGGTAATTTCAGTAGAAAGGCTCCTCATTTGCACCAATCGGAGAAAACAATAGGGACTGTAAATACATACTTTGAGAATAATATAAAAGGATCTTTAGAGATGTGTATTTTAAAAAATACAGCTTTGGTGTGACAAAGACTTTTTTTCTCTATTGCAAGGTTAGCTCTTGCCCTTTGTCTGAATATATTGTAACAATAAGAACTGTTCAGGTTCCCACAGTAACAATACTCTTGGGGATAACACAACCCAAGGCCAGGAATAAAAGGGTGTCATAAAGTACCAAATAGTCACCTGCTTCCCAAAATACCCTGGGACAGGTTCTCTCTTGGTGTAAAACAGACCAGCTCCTGAGGATATGGCTTGGTATCTCTGCAGAGTGGGTAGTCACTGTTGCAGAGGTCAGTACATGCATCAGCTGGATGATGTATAGATCAGATCTTTGCACTGCAGGCTCTTAGGAGATGTTTCCAGTTAACTTCCAGAGCAGCTGCTCCTCAGGACAATGAGGTTTTATATTTAGAAGTGCAGACTGGTCACCTCATGGTGTCCTGATTTAAGAGTGATCAGGTCTGTGCTCACCATTCATCTCTTTGAAATGAAAAGGGCAATAGTTAAAGAGTTGGCTTGGATCTCGCTCTTGTTTTGGTATAAACCACTCTTAATGAGATTGCATTTTTTTTCTCTATCATGCCTAACTTCAGTCTGAGAAGGAAGATAACACAAAGAATAAAACTGTCCAGAGTGTGCTGCGGTCACAACAGATTTAGCAGCTTACACACGAATTTTTTTCCCCTTTCTCTTCTTTTATCTATGTTGATAAAATCGGAGACTGGTGGCTAGCACTGATTTAGATTTTCAGCCTGGATTTGTTCTTGTTTTTCTCCTTACTTCAGTTCTCCTTGTGCAGTGCTGCGTGGCGCTGGCAGCCTGAGAGAGAGGGAGCTCCAGTCACACGCATAGACTCAGACCGCCGAGAGGAGATTAACATCAAGGAGTCCACATTTGCAATAGCGGGTGGTGCTGGGGGGAGAGGCGAGGGGAAAATAAAATAAAAGCAACAATCGGGTAAATGCTCCTCTCTTCTCGCCACCAGCACCTTGCACAGGTCTGAAATCGCTTATTTTGCTTTGCTGTATTGCGCTTGCCTGGGCTGTGGAGAGGGGAGGGGGAGGGGAGGAAGGGGGAGGTTTAACTTTTACTTGACATTACCGGGTTATTGTCACTTCCCCCGTGTTAAACCCCGGTGGTTCCCCCTCGCCCCCACCCCCTCCCCGGCCTCGGCTCCCTCCAGTTAACTTTGTTCAAAGGGCTGCAGTCGGGAGGGCTTGTCCGGGCCTGGGACACAGATAGCGTAAAGTAAATAACCACCACAATTAGGCTGGGGCCGGGAGTTGATCTTCGCGGCGAGAGATCTGCTTAGTTAGCGTTTGCTGTTTCGGGGCGATTGAAGGCCGCCGTGCCAAGGACACGCACACGCACACACACAGACACACACAGTCACTCTTACACACGCACGCTGGATACAAAAGTCTGGAGGATCTAGGGGAGAATTGCAGCCGCCGGATCGGTGCAGCAGCCGCGGGCAGAGCCATGCGTGTCACGGCCTCCTGAGGGGGAAAAAGGAAGGAAGGGAGGAAGGAGGAAAAAACAAAAGAGAGAAAGAAAGAAAGAAAGAAGGAAAAAAAGAAAAGAGGGAGAAAGGAAAGCAGAAGACAGACGCGGGGTGGTGGAAAGTGTTTGCCTGCTTTTGTCTCGCAATACAGTGAACTGGAAGATGGAGATGGATGTTAAGGGAGTTTCTCCGTGCCCGGAGCCCATCCCCCCGGCGGCGGGGTCTGGCGGCTGCCCGCACCAGCGCCCGCACCACCGCGATGGGCAGCCCGCGGAGCCGGCCCCCGCCGCCGACAGCGGCCACCCGGAGCGGAGGCACGGCAGTGAGAAAGAGGACAAAAAGGTAGGTCCGCTCCGCCGCCGGCCGGCCGGCGCCGCGCCCGCCCGAGGGGCCGGCTGCCCGGGGCCGCGCTCGGCGGGGCGGGCGGGGCCGCTGCCGCTCCCGCTGCCGCTGCCGCCGGGCCCGGCCGCGGCAGCCCCGCGCCGCCCTTTGTCAGCGCGGCGGCGAGAGGCGGGGGGCCGGCGGCGGAGGTTGTCTGAGGACACGGGGGCGCGGGGCGGGCAGCGCGGGGCCGCCGCCGCCGGGCCCGGGGCGCCGGGCATTGTTCCGCCCGCCCGCCCGGCGGGAGCGGCCCGGCTGCCGCCGCCAAAGTTTAACCTCACTTCGAGGGGCCGCGGCCGGCCCTTCCCGGGGCCGCTCCCCTTCCCTCCCCGCGCCTCGCCTCGACTTCCAGCCGGCGGCGAGGGGCGAGTCACTTGGGGGAAGGAGCCCGGGCGCTGTGTCCCTCCAGCCCTGCTGTGTCATTGCGGACCGGGGGACGGCTGCTCGCTGCCGAGTGAGAGCCCGCGGGTGACGGAGTTGAGCGAGAAATGGGTCAGATCGCACCCTTTGGTGCGGATGTGGCTGCTGCTGCGAGATTCGGAAAGTAGGGAGGATGGGATGGAAAAAGGTTGCCATTAAGATAATGTCAGCGGAGTGCATTGATCAGTGCTTTTGTCTGTGGGCACTGTCTTCATTCATTTTTCTCGGCATTGGTTTGCTAAACTGAAGCCGATGAATTCTGCTGTGTCTGTAGGTCTGTGACAGGCAGAGACTGATAAATGTGTAAGTTTCATCGTAATTCGGTGATGGTTGCAAGGTGTGATCCGTGTGTGCTAGACAGTGTAAAACACATCCATTTCTGTTTTATTGAAATACGAGTAATTCTCTGAATGCACAGGTACCCCTAAACAGATTATAATCCTAGAGTAATGTAAAAAAGAAATGCTGGCATATACTGGATTTGAACCGTGTTCAACTAGTTTTACTATAGTTTGGTTTCGTTACAAATGTGTAAGAGAACAGTAACACAATGAAGGAATGTAAGCGAGCAGGGCAATAAATCAATGCAACATCTATGTTACACCACATATTTGCATGACTAGAACTCCAGTTGTCATGAGAAAGATTTCTCATGTTGTATTTTTTAAAAATTGTATTTTTATATGCAGACTACGAGTTTTCAGCATTTGCCTCCTACACTTTTAGGTTTGTTACTGTTCGGTAAAATCTGTGCTATTGTTTTAATTAAAAGAGGGTATCAACGCTGGATCATTTAAACAGGGCCTGTACAATTTAAGAGGGTGGATACAAGGGCTTTATTTTTAAAACGGTAAACGGTGGTTTACTTATTGTGATAGATGAACACAGAATTCCATCTCCTTTGAGTTTATGACTATTTAATTCTGCCATGACTGCATGTACTGTACCTAGCTGAATGATTTGTGTGTCTGTGATTGTTTCTAGGATCTCTTTCATTGCACTGTGCTACTTATTAAACTTAAAAATATTTTATTTCAAAATAATTAAAATGAGCCAAGGTTGCCATTTACACATGACTTCGTTTTGCCACTGCCTTGAGAATTTTAAAACCCTGCCATCAGCAGAAATTCATGCTCAATAATTACTTTCTGATGTACCACACAATCTAATGTTTTACCAATTATGGACATGAGGAAGGCAAAGAAGGTGTGACTCAAGGTGAATGAACACCAAAGAAGGCCTGATTCTCTGTGGTGTGGCTAATTAATGTGTTTAGACGACTCAGGATTGCACTCTTTTATTCTGTATCTGCCAGTACTTTCTGGACGTGGAAACAAAAGTACTACCTCTTTTTTTTTTGATTTTTCTTTTTTGTTGTTGTTGTTCTATCTATAGCCATGCTAAAGTACTGTGATATATTCCTCTTTTTTAATTCCACTATTAACTTTTCCAAGTTTGCCATTGCCAAGGTTGTTGCAATGACTAGCTTGTATTTTTGGGATGTGCTGTGATATTTCAAACCTCTCTAAATGTATGTATCTTTTCTGGATGATGTCCCAGGACAACCAGTGCTTCTCATTAGTGCAGAACTATTTCAGATATCTGGTTAAGTACTGGCAACAGAAATATAATGGGAAGGGGAAAAACCATTAGAGAGATAGTAAAATCCAACACTATTGTGAAAAAAATCTCAAGTCAACTACAAAACTGAACTCAAGCATTTCTGGAAATATCATCTAAGAACTTTCTAAATTGATTGAAATAACTGTACCACTGTTCTTTTGGCCCTTATACAAACTTCCCAGGCACACTGATACATGCTGGAAGTGTAAGCTCTCTACATGGAAATTGTAAAGGACATTAGAACCTGGATTCCTGACAATGTATAATTAGGACTACATAAATATTAAGATCTTGCAATGTCTCATGATTTCACTGTCAGATTTACTTTTTGGCATCATGCTTCAATTATAAGAAAATCTTGTATTTAATCACTGAGCTCCATTTCTAAACGGAGCTGGGTCAAATTTATGTTCTAATAAAAGTATTTTTTGTCACTGCCTCCAAAAGGAACATCGAATTAACCAAAGCAAGTATTTTCCTAAGTTTATGGAACTTCAGTAGAATATACTACCATAGTCTCACTTACATGGATACTGAAGGTTTTTTCCCTGCTGTGTATTAGTTTATTTGTTGTTGAGCTTCAATAAAATTTTGAAACGTGTGTAACTTGAAGTACATCTCACTGTCTTCAGCTGGGATGCTGACATGCTGGAGTGTGTGCTTAAGTGCTTTGTTGGAGGAAGAACTAGGTTACTTCTCATATATCTTTCTGTTGAGACCAACTCTGACTGATATATAGGAATAGAAATTATGAAGATTGACTTTATAATTTATTAAGTACACAGTACTTGGTGCTTTAAAGCCTAGTTGCCATTTGGGTGGGAGAAAATGAAGCACAAATAGTAGAGTGCAAGATTTAGAAAGCTAATAGGCTGAATCTATGTGGATACTATTTTTTCTCTTAAAGCAAAACACATCAAAAATATTTTTCAACACTCCTACAATGTTTTCTGTTATTTTAGTTAAAAACATATAGGTCTAATCCTATATACAGAAGCATGTTGACATTCTCCAGTATGGCAAAGTGAATGACTGGGGGAGAGAACAACCTGCAATCCTGGTTGTTCATTCCTGGCTGGAGGTGCAGCTGATGCCTGTGACAGCTTGTGTGGGTGGATTGTCGCACCATCTTGCCACTCCATGACTCGGTGCCAACGGATCCAGGCCCCTAAATTGTACCAAGGATTCTTTCCAGCTTATCTTGCAGTGATTGCATCTTTACAAGGATCAGCGCACGGAGCACTTTGGGAGTAGAAGGCAGCTTTGCAGTTCCTTTGCAAACTGGTGGCTATAGGTGAAGTTTATGACAGCTCACAGAGCAGGATGGTAGAGTTTTCCCAGAGGTGATACCCTGAGCCCTGAGTTAGGACTTTCAAGCCCTCAGCTACAGCCAGTCTATTACAGTGTTTCCATTTGCCAAAGCCCCCAAGCTCTCCAAAAGCTGGTCTGAGGTATGGATTTGGTAATGTAACATTTCATACTGAGAACAACTTGTGCATCTCTGGTATGCACAAATCATTTAGCACAAATGATCTACAAGCACCCCCAGAGCTTTCACTTTATACCTACATTCCAGATATAAAACCATCTGTGAAATAGCTCCAAAGCAAAGAACTTTCTGTGTATTTACATGGAAATGAGCACAATGAGGTTATAGCAAAACCAAGCTTATGTGGGCTGGCTACATTGTATTCTGATTCACAACCAATTTGCCAGTGTTTGATGCAAGAGTTCTGAGGTGTTTTGTGGTCTTTTTTGTATGTTATTTCCCAGGATGCTCACCTGTGATAGTGCTGTGTGATAATGGCACCCAAGTGTGAGCTTCTAGAGGGGAAAAGCCGAGTGCTTTGGGGAAAGGCACTCAGTATTAATGTGGGAATTCTGTTCTGCTGTACACATGATCTGATTATCAGTCTCTGAAAGCCTTCTGCTAGTGTATTTACAAGAATACTGCTATCAACTATATACTGCTTGTTCATTCATCCTCCACAAGCAGTAGGTTAGGAATAGTGGAAGACACTTCAGGGGAATTATTTTTTAATAGTTTCTCTTATGTATTATGTTTGATTTGGAAAGCCAAATGTTGCTCTGTGTTTACATTTAGAGAGAGAAGGCTCTAGAAATGCAGTTTATGCTTGAAGCAGGTGGTGGGGATTCTTTCAGGGGGTAAATCACTCCAGTCTCAAATCAGATGTGCTTATCTTACCTTAGGCAGTTCCATTGTGAACAGAAGAGGAGTTGTCAACCACTGTCACACTTCCTGGAGATTTGATTGAGTTTTCCTTTGCCAGATAATCTGGACCATTCCCATTGAGCAATCAGAAGTTAAGAACCAAAAGCTGAAACTGAAATCAGTAATGGCTATGGGGGGGTGTGTGGGATGAAGAAAGCAGAAAAAGACAACACTACTGGTTGCTGAAGGTAGCAGCTTCTCCTGATAATAGTGTAAAATGCACCATCTTATATTAGTTGGAGTTTCCAAGTAGTGAAGGCTTTGTGCCAAGTGTATCATGGGCTATGGTTCTGCCAAGATATAATGCAGGCATGAATAGTCAAGGTCAAGGTATGCATAGATGGACAAAATCTTCACCACACAGATATGGCAGAAAATTATACTTGTGGCTGTTGCTATTCTGAGAGTTTGATGTCAGACAAAAATTCAGGTGTATGCTTAAAGTGAGGACAAAACTGGAGAATAATGTGTCTTTGTCTAAATCATTGGTAAGAAAATTTCAGAAATCATTCCCCAGCCCAGCCACATGAACTCTGTCTTTTTCAGATCCACTCTAAAGCACCAGTTCTTTATTCTTAAGCTGTTTCTATCTGTGCTGTGGACTGTCCTGATATTAGTATTGATCTGCATAGTTCAGTTTCTTCCTGATGAAATGGTCTGAAAAATAATCTGCACCCTGTTCTTC